TATATATATATATATATATGTATCGAAACAGCCTCAGTGAGGGCTTGGTCACATGGCTGGCCAATACTATCACTAGGAGTATCATATTTTTATCATGACTCTGCAGCTTCAGCTTTCTGTAGAGTAGGCAAAATGCCCCAGACTTGAGATGATGTGGATTCAGATCCCAACTTTGTCAAAGCCATGTGGCTTTGAACTACTCACATTCCCTTCCTGGACCTCAATCTCCCCTATGAAGTGGAAAAGGTAACTTGAACCTCCTGCTATAGTTTGGATCTAGAACATTCTTCAAAACCCATGTGTTAAAGTCTTGCTCCCATGTGGCACTATTGGAAGATGATGGAACCATTAAGAGGTGGGGCCTAATGGGAATGTTTGGGTCATGGGGGGGCGGGCTTCCTTGAAGGGGACTGTGGGACCCTGGGCTTTTCCTCTCTTCTTTTCATCCATCCACGAGGTGAACAGGCTTTCTGTGCCACACACTCTCGCCATGGTGTGCTGCCTTGCTACAGGCCCAAAAATAATGAGGCCGATTGACTGAAACCTCTGAAAGTGTGAGCCAGAATAAACCATTCCTCTTTTTAAATTGATTATCTCTGATATTTTGTTACAGCAAGGAAAACTGAGTAATATGCTCCTCAAGATTCTACTATTAAAAGGAGCTGAACCTGACACGGTGGAGCACGCCTGTAATCCCAGTGGCTCAGGAGCCTAAGGAAGGAGGATCGCAAGTTCAAAGCCAGCCTCAGCAACTCAGTGAGACCCTGTTTCTAAATAAAAAGGGCTGGGAATGTTATTCAGGGGTTAAGTACCCCTGGGTTCAATCCCTGGCACCAAAAAGAAAATGGGGGGATCAAACACTCAATGAACGTTGATTTCTCTCTCCCTCATCCCCTTTGCTAGGGTCCCCACAAATAAGCAATTTTTAGAAAGTCAACAGCCAGCAGGCTGGGACATGTGACACACTCCTGTGATCCCAACTACTCAGGAGGCTGAGGCAGGAGGACCACAATTTTGAGGCCAGCCTGGGCAACTAACTTAGTGAGACCCTCTCTCAAAATACAATCAGAAGGACCGGGGGTGTGTTCCAGTGGTAGAGCTCCCTTGGGTTCCATCCCCAGGACCACAGGAGAGAAAAGTCACCAGCCCTTTGGGCCTGTGGAAGCAACACAATTGAAACTGGAGTTACCTTCTGGTGGATGACATCTTTGGACACTGTATGCCCGTCACAGGCTGCAGCTCCTATGGATATGCAGCAGCCCCTGGGGTAGGTGTGACCAGTTGTCATTTCAAAGGAAGAGCCAGAAAAATCCGTGTAGTTATTCACCCCACAGCACTTTAACTGCACAGAGAGCAGAAGAGGACATACTGAAGACTCTCCTTCAAATAATAAAACAATAACAACAGTAGACATCGCAGTCACCACTGCAAATCACAGTCCAGGGCTATCTGCTGAATGCTGCGACACCACCGGCGGCGGCTCGGAGCCTTCCCTGCCTCCGAGGCCGAGGCCCTGCACAGCCCGTCTCCTCACGGCCTCCCCTTTACTCACTTTACTGATTTCTTCACTGTTCCTCAAAAACTCCCAGCAAGCCCCAGCCTCCAGGGCTTGCATAGGCTGTTCCTTTTTTTTTTGGAATGCTCTTCTTCAAATATCTGCTGGTTCCCTCCCTTACTTCATTCAGGTCTCTGTTCAAAGGTCCCTTCTCAGGAAAGCTTTTCCTGACCACCCTTTCTAACCTGGATCAGTCAGGCTGGGCTCAGTTATGTGGCTATAACAAAGAGCCCCTCCATCTCAGTAGAGTCGTCCCTTGGTATCTCTAGGAGATAGGTGGTTCCCGCCACCCCACCCCACCGAGAGGTACTAAAATCCACAGATGCTCAAGTACCTTATATACAATAGGGAAGTTTACATAGAACCTACACACATCCTCCTGTATAATTTAAATCATCTCCAGATAACGAGAATGACTAAATGTATTGTGTCTTACTTTATTGTGCTTAACAGGCACTGTTTGTTTGCTTGTTAAACAAATTGAAGGTTTGCAGCAACCTTGCATCAAGTCTGTTGGTGCCATTGATCCAAACCTTGGATGAATGTTAGCACTTTTTTTTTAAATATATATTTTTTAAGTTGTTGATAGACCTTTATTTATTTATTTATTTATATGTGGGGCTGAGAATCGAACCCAGTGCCTCACACATGCCAGGCAGGTACTCTACCACTGAGCTACAATCCCACTTCCTTCCTTGCTTTTTTAAAATGCAACTTATCACCCTTGATATTGTTTCTTATTGTTTTCTCGTCCATCTCCCCATTCAAGTATCATGAACAGAACAGGATTTTTAAAATGACTTATTGTGTTCCCAGAGCCCCAATCAGTGCCTTTCACATAATAGATGCTCAATGAATATTAGTCCAAGGATTGGATGAATGAATGAGAATCATCTTCCACCATCTCAAGTTTGAAAAGCCAAAGCGGGGAGGTGGACAAGCTCTGTTCCCCATTCCACACCTGCTCCACAGCCTGACCTTGACTGTCAGCTCCTGCACTTGACGTAGATGTAAAATGCAACCTGAGGGCTGGGGATATAGCTCAGTTGGTAGAGCCTCGCAGGCACAAGGCCCTGGGTTCAATCCCCAACACCACCAAAAAAAAAAAAAAAAAAAAAGTGCAACCTGAAATAGGAGATGGCTTTTCCCTTCCAGAGACTGTCCTCAGCCACTTGGCCCAAGAACTGCTCCTTAAATACCAAGGGACAAGATGGGAGTCTCACCACCTCATGCCTATTGGGATCATGATTATATATTCATTAAAAAAAACAACAACAACTTAGAATATGTTGCCCAGCAAGTGTTGGCAAGGATGCACAGAAATTGGATTTCATGTGTATTGCTGATAGGAATGAAAAACGCGTGGCTGCTGTGGCGGGGTCTGGTAATTCCTCAAGAAATTAGACACAGTGCCGGGAACAGCACCTATAATCCCAGCACCTCGGGAGGCTGAGGCAGGAGGATTGCAAGTTCAAGGCCAGCCTCAGCAACTTAGCAAACTTCTGAGTCAAAATAAAAAATAAGAAGAGCTGGGGGTTTGGCACTTGTCTAGCATGCACAATGCCCCTGGTGGAAAAATAATTAATGAAACAAAGAATTGCCATACGATCCAGCAACTCCATTTCCAGGTAAAAGCAGGGACTTAGACAGATACCTGTACAACTGTGTCGGTAATGGCCTCTTATTCCTGGTAGCCAGAAGGCAGGAGTGACCTGAGTGTCCACTGCTAGATGAATGGATAAACAAATTGATTTGGCCTTGAAAAGGAAATTCTGACACAGGCTACAGTATGAATGAACCTTAAAATTATGTCCCGCAAAATAAGCCAGTCACAGAAGGTGAGAACCACTGCATGGTGCCACTCCCAGGAAGTCCCCAGAGTCACCAGAAAGCAGAAAGTAGAATGGGGGGTGGGTAGGGAGCTGGTGGGGAGGGAGAATGGGGAGTCTGTGTTTAACGAGGACCGAGCTTCAGCTTGGGAAGATGGAAAGTTCTGGAGAGGGATGGAATTGAATGGACTTTCATGCCACTGACCTATATGCTCAAAAATGGTAAATTTTATGTAGCATACATTTTACCACATTTTTTTTTTAAAGAGAACCTCACCTTCTCCATGACCAAGTTCCACTGTTCAGAATAGTCATCTGGCTCGTTGTAACCTCTGTAATTCTTCCTCAGAGTCATGAAGGTGTGCTCCAAGGCCACTTCTCGAACCTTGCAGATGAGACCGGAGACAATAAGCACACAAAAAGGCAAGGGTGGTCCATGGAGGGGGTTTGTTTCTTATGGGTAGAGAGGAGAAGGGGGATCTCCTCTTTTCTTACCCTTGGTTCCTGGGTCTGTGCTAGAGGGGGACACATTCAGGCTGTCATGGTGCCCGTTGGGGAGGGGGACACACGGCAGAGCGTGGGTCTGCAGCCACGCGCATCTGGTTGTACCCATCACTAATGAACTTGAATCATCTGCTCTTTCCAATCGCCCACAAGCTGCTACACCCACAGCTTGGCTCTAACTTGATTCAAGAACCGAGTCTCATCCTCACCAACCAAATCCCTCTCGGCACATGTGAGGGGAGAAACTTAATTTTTTGATTATTTAAATAAAGGTTTACTTTTTTTTTCTTTTCCCCAAAAGAGGCGATCCAGTCCCATCTTCAAAACTGACAAAGCCCAGAAGGGGAGATCATGAAAAGTGTCTACCTCCCACCTCTTTCTCCCAGCCAGAGTTCCTCCCACTTCATGTCGATGACTATTCCTGTTTCCTGTGTCCCCAAAGAGATATTGGATGTGTGTCAAAGCCGAGGATATTTTCATTATTTTTCTCCTGGTTTGAAACTGCTGTCACTGTTCTGCATCTGGCTGCTCTAACAAGAGTAGCAGGTGTTCTCGGTGCCCTGTCATTTCTGTGCACACTGGTCGGGCCTCCAGCTGTCAGCAAGGGCAGGTTCTTGGTGGCCTCTTTGACTAGGCTCCCTGTGAGCCGCCTGCCCAGCACCAGCAGCTGAATGGAGTTGGTGGATCAATACCCTGGCTCCCTCGCCCCTGGAGTGAAATAACTTAGATGCATGTTCTACCGTGTGTCCCAGGCCTCCCTAGTAGGACCAAGCCCTTTATGGGCTGTTTTTCCTTTCCCACTTTACTTCTCCTGTCTCCTGTAAGTGCTTCCTGGTATCGCCTCTCAATAAACCACATGCCTTTGAATCTTCCTGGGGGACTGCTAATGAAGACAGTGTTCTGTCCTAGAGAACCTCCCATCTCGGGCACAGACAGCTACCTCCTTCCTTGTTTCTGGGAGCACAGGACTTCAGTATGCGGATGTCTTGTAACTCACCTAAGCCCCTGGGCTGTTTGCAATCTTGCTGTGTGTTCAATCTCCAGTGTCACAAGCCCTGGTGTGGTACTGGCTAAATTGTCCAGACTGGTCTGGAGTTTGCAATGCTTCTGCATCAGCCTGAGAGCAGCTGGGATTACAGGCCCACACCCTGCGCCTAGCTGTTCCCAATCTTCTGCACACCCCAGTATGACATATGTCACTCTGCACCTAAGCAAATAAATCCTTGGGTAATTCCCAGAAACAAGACTGTGGGGTGCACGTGCCCAGGCTTTTGTTATTTTGACGAGTTTTGCAAAAATAATCCTCTGTTCTGAACATTTTTTTTCAAAACCCAACAAGGAGTGCTTTTTTCCGATCTCCCTCTTTCCCTGCACCAAACACAGGAGACCTGGTCTGAAATGATCTCGGCAGGCTTCTTGTGACCTTTAGGAAGGGAAATTTTTAACTTTGCGCCTCATCTCTGGAGGCACGTCCCGTCCAAGGGACCCACAAATCCCTCCATCAGCGGATCTCTGCCATCTAGGGGCCGGTACCCAGTGTGGGTGCCCCCCGGGGGGCGGGGCTTCTATCCTTTTCTGTTCCATTCAGAAATGGAGCAGGAGAAGCCACTTGGGACTTACCATGCGGAAGAGAGCGAGGACCACAGCAGCCGCCGTGATTTCCAGGATGAGAATGATAATCATGAGCAGGAAACACTGGAAGGCAGATGGGGACAATGTGGGGCTGGGAGCCTATTCTGCCACATCCGGGGGGGCTGTGTGCCCCCACCCCACCTCCCATCCCAGACCTCTGTCATGCTCCAGTTTGGGAGAATTCACACCTGGGTGGGGGACGGGAGGCTGGTGGGTTTTATTTCTCCCAAGTCACTTTTCTGCATGTTGGGGAGGGGGGTCAAGGATGCTAGCAGTGGGGCATTTGGGGGAGCTGCTAGCTGGACCCCTTTTGGGGAAGGCTTAAGAGGAGACCTTAAAGCGGGCTGCGCAGAGAGCAAGCTCAGGGGAGAGGCAGAACAATGAAAAGGATCCGCTGGGCACCTTGGCTCCATCTGTAAACCCATCTACTTGGAAGCTGAGGCAGGAGAACCCTGAGTTCGAGGCCCGCCTGAGCAACTGAGAGCAGATTCTGTCTCAAAAAATGTCGAGGGGGCTGGGGTTGTGGCTCAGCGGTAGAGTTCTTGCCTCCCCCGTGTGAAGCCCTGGGTTCCATCCTCAGCACCACGTAAAAATAGATAAACAAAATAAAGGTATTGTGTTCATCTAAAAATATACTTGTAAAAGTTAAAAAATAAAAATAAAACTTGAAGAGGGCGGCTGGGCCAGGTAGCTCAGTGGTAGAGTGCTTGCCTGGCACGTGGGAGGCCTTGGGTTCCATCCCCAGCACTGGAGGGGGGTGCAAGGGTGACAGATTTTAGACAAGGACTCAGGGAAGTTGCTGATGCCAGGTCAGTTGGAGCCCCGGGGAAGTAACATTTGCTGAATTAACTTTCTGATAAAATTCACATGCCTGGTAGAGAGCAATGGGAAATGCTGCTGTCACCCATCTTAGAGAATCCCCTTTCTCCTTGGGGCATTCCGTTTCCCTAACGGTACAAGTGGCAGTGGGGCCAGCTCAGGGGGCTTCACTGGGGTCTGTAACCCACCTTGAGGACACACGGGGGTCAAGTAAGCTCAGCTCCTGGCTTCCCATCCATCTATTCCCATCTGTATCCACTGTTATTATTGCTACTATTATTAAACATCTATTTGATAACCCATGCTTTGAGTCGCCAGACTGGCCACCGGCAGGGCTTCTCTGGCCTTGACAAGGAGAGGCAGGAAAGCACAGTGGACACGTGTCCTGGTTCCCACAGTGCACAAAGCCTACACAGGTGCAGGGTTTAGCAGCTGCAGGAGCCCTGCTAAATGACACAGGTAACAGCTGGTAACAACTAATAATATGTCCCTGCCTCTGGGTGGTGGAGACGTCCAGAAGACAGACACCCGGGAGTCTCCAAGTCCTCCTGGCTCCACCTTTAGAACCCGCCCTTAGTCTGCCCACGCGACAGGGTCCAGCCTCCTCGCCCCCACACGCTGTTCCGCCCTCGGCCACCAGAGGGCGCGTTGGAGCCTTGGCGTTGAGGCCATCCGACGCCACCCCAAAGATTTTTGTTTCCCCAGAAACAAAAGTCTCAGGAGGCTTTCCAAGGACAGGGACGTATCCTGAGGGTCAAGCTAATGGAATTTACTGACAGGTTAATGGGGGTGGAAAACAGAGGAACTTGAATGCTTTTAAGTCAAACAAAGGATAAAACAGTGCCCACTTCTTCACTATGGAGCGAAAATGAAATTTTGCAGGCGCGGAGCCTGTTGATTTGTGGAATGAGGTCATTGAGAGAAAATGGGGGAGCTGGGAGTGTGGCTCAGTGGTAGAGCTAGCATGCAGGGTTCAAATCCCAGCACTGGAAGAAGGAAGGCGGGAAGGAGGGAGGGGAGAAGATAAGGAAAGAAGGAAGGAAGGAATTGAGAGACCCATCTTAGCGAGGCCCAGGGGTGCTTCTAACAGTCAGTTATCTGTGCTCTGAGAAGCGACTAGACTAAGCATCTCCCTGAAAATTCCCCCAAATAAAATAACCAGTGTTTCGCAGTCACGCAGTGGAAGAAGGAGAGCAATATGCTAGCGACAGATTAAACCTAGGTGGGACAATCTGCTCAGGCGGACTTCTAGGGGGCGCATCCGAGATGAAATGGAAATGGGGAAGCTGAGAGCCGGCATCTGGAGAGATGCTAACTCAAGCTGGCTGTGCGAATGAGTGGCAGGCCATCTGCACAATCATACCTGAAATGTTCCTACTCCATAAACTTGTACAGGTAAGGGGATTACAACGGCGCTCTGTCAGCAAAAGACAGGCACATGGACCAACGGAACACAGCAGAACTGATCCAAGTGTGACCGGGAAGACTGCCTGGGCCACTCAATGCATGGGACAGTATCTCACTGGGGTGTGTGTGAGTGTGTGTGTGTGTGTGTGTGTGTGTGAGAGAGAGAGAGAGAGAGAGAGAGAGAGAGAAATCAGATCCCTACCTCACACCACACATACAAACTCTAAATAACTAAAAATGAGAAAGCAAGATTTTTTGAAGAAAAACCAGACAAATAAAATTTACAACCTTGGGGATCGGAGGAATTTAGGACAAGGTATATCCTAAAGGGAAAGATGGGTGCATCTGTTGCCATGAAGCAAGACATCCCAAACACAGTTGAAATAGGGGACACTAAGCAAAGGTGTTTGTCAGACAGATAATGAAGGATTCGTACACGGCGTGGGCCATTTGGGGGTCTGTGTGCCGATCCAACTTACAAAAAAGAGAGTGCTTCTGCTTTCTTTCGTAGATCCATACCACCCCGCGAGGCCAAGCAGTACCGCGATGCAGCCTATGACCAGGCACAGGTAACCAAAGTGAAAGAGGTATGCAGAAGACAATCCAAGGACCCTCGTCAGGGTGGCCTCTCCATACTTGACATTGAGGCCCAGGCCAATGAGGATTATGCCAGACACCTTTAGAACAGAAATAAGAATGGTGGGGGGAGTGGTCTTTGAGGTGTATACAGATAAAATTTTTCCTGAGAGCAGATAGAAGGAAACACAGGCCAATAAAAGCAGCAAACATGTTTTTAAAAATGATAATACTCAGAGCTGGTGATGATGTAGAAAGGTTTTCATAAGTTGTCACCAGGCAACACACTTTGTGGTTGGGGAGGGAGGTGGAAGGAAACTCTACAACTTACAACCTTAAAATTTTTTATCTTTTTTTAAAAATATTCTTTTAGTTATCAGTGGACTTTTATTTTATTTATTGATGCGTAGTGCTGAGAATCGAACCTAGTGCCTCACACATGCTAGGCAAGTGCTCTTCCACTAAGCCACAACCCAGTCCTAAAATTTTTACCTTTTAAGGCTTTATCCAGAAATTCCATTCCTAGGTACCCAGCATAAGGAAAATAGTCATAGTTGTGTCTCAAGAGACACAGGGATATTTGTTACAGTGTTTTTTAATGGAAATAGAACATTAAAATAACTGAAGCAACCAGTACCTCAGATGGGGTGAGTGAATCATGGTGGAATCCTGCATAGGGATCCTGGATAGTTATGTTGTAGGACAGGGATGGGCAATTTGTTTCTGAGAATCCACAGATATGATGGCCATGACAGATCTTAATATGTCTTTTAAAACTACTCAGTTCTGCTCATGTCATTTGAAAGGAGCAATCTGCACACAGTCTACAAGTAAGCAGTTTGGCTGTGCCCCCAAAGCACTTTATAGCAGGCCAGGCTGTGGCTTACTGATCCCTGTTGTATGAGCATGTTGACTGACACAGAAAGCTGTTTTTATATATTTATACCAGGGATTGAACATGGGGGCGCTTACCCACTGAGTCATGTCCCTAGCCCCCCCCACTTTTTTTTTTTTTTGGTGGTGCTGGGGATTGAACCCAGGGCCTTGTGCATGTGAGGCAAGAACTCTACCAATGAGCTATATCCCCAGCCCCCTAGCCCCTTTAAATATTTTATTTAGATACAGGCCTCACTAAATTGCTGAGGCTGGCTTTGAACTTGCAATCCTCTTGCCTCAGCCTCCCGAGCCACTGGCGTGTGCCACATACCTGGCTTCAGAAAGCTATTTTTAATGCTTTCATGTGTTTTCTTTTTGTCTGCCTTGCTCATTCTAGGGAGGTGCTCTACCAATGAGCTACATCTCCAACCCCTTAATATGGCATTTTTTGTTTGTTTTTGTTGATGTTTTAAGGTGGATTGTAAAGCAACGTTACATGTTTGTCTACTGTTTTTTAAAGGTATATGGAAAAGTCTGGAAGGATTTAAAGATGACGATGGTATTTCTAGAATGACAACTCCCTGACAGGCTAAGCCTTTCAAATGCATTGATGCATTGAATTCCCATCAAAATATTACAATACCGTTGTCAAGATGAGAAGTGATATCTAATTTGCTTCTCCTTCTTGGCAACTTTTCTCTACCTGATTTTACAATGAACACAATTACTTTTCTAACAATGCACACTTTGGGTTATTTTACAGTAAGAAAAAAATGTTTTGAAAAAATTGAAAGATCAAGAAAATAAGGGGCTCGGATGTAGCTCAGTGGTCGTGTGTGCTTAGCATGCATGAGGTCCTGGCTTCAATCCCCAGCACCAAAAAAGCAGAGAATGAAAAGAAATTAATCATTCCCTCCTGGTCTTCCCCCCTCCAAAAAAAAAAATTATTTTCTGCAGGATTCGGTTCAGAGCTGAGCCTTTCATCACAGATCTGCAGTCCCCAAGATCACGTGCATCTGTGCTAATTTCACCAGCTCTGAGTCGATCCAAGCCTTCACCTGTTTCCAATGTGCCAGCTCCCCAACAGCCTGCCCTACATCTCTCCTGCTTCCCCGGGGATCACAGATCTGAATGCCAATTTGGATCAACTTATTTCTGTCTTTCAGGGACCTGGACGTGGAGGAAGGGCTGAAAAGTCCCAGAGCCTGAGTTGTGACATACTTACAGTCACGAAGCCATTCAGTAAAGATAACGTTTTCTTCAAGGAAGAATATGGAGTGTGTATTTCAGCCATGTTGGCCAGACTGGGGTGCCCGGGACATTTAAGTCAGCATCTTCCTACACCTCTGGGCTACTGTTTCTCAAGATGTCAGAGGACTGGGGTAGGGGCACGGAGTTCACTTACTCTGCCCCTCTGTTTCCTGGCTGCCCGATCATCTCCCAGGGTTGCCTGGCAGCTGCCCCGCCTCAGTCATAAGCCTTTGTCACATCACAATCAGAAGCTGGAGCAAGGCTCACAGTATCAGGGAAACCGGTTCCCCATGCTGTCCCCTGTGGGCTTCTCATTCTCCAAATAGCCACACTAGGATTGGATAAAAAGCCATGCAGTTCCTCTTTGGCACCCCCCCACCCCACCGGATGCCACCAGGGTCCTATGGGTAAAGTGCTCAACACAGAGCATTGTGTAATTGACATCCGCAGTAGACTGGGGTCTCCAAAAGAACAGGCATCTGGATGTCCTATTCACAACTGTGTCCCCAAAGCCTGGTTCAGTAGGTACTCAAGAAACCACCAGTGGAATGAATGAATCAAGAGACTACACACAGTGCAGGGATCAAGGTGCAAGTCCCTGGGCCCTCCGAGGCCCTGCCCATGCTTCACCCATTCTTCTCCAAGGCCTGAGAGGCCAAGGATCCTGCCTGAGGCCTCACAGGAAGCAGGATGAAGGCTGAGCTTTGAAGTCTCAAGGGTGACATGAAGGCAGGAACCTATGAAGCACAGAACCCCTTTGAGGTCTGCTCTGCTCAGTTGCCCTTGAGCTCTGTGCCACAGGTCACTGCCTTTTCTTGATGATGACAGAGATGTAGTGGCATTTCTGCATGTGCACAGAAAGCAGCTCCTGCGGCACCTAGTCCACCTGGCTTCCCCACCCTGGGCCAGACACATCCTACCCCAGGCTGGTCCCTTTCTGTCCTGCCCTGGGCTGGAGTGTATCTGTGTCCAGGTCCTGGGTGGCTGGGTTTGGGGAAGGGTGCGGCTCAAAAGGGCAGAAACAATTTACACTTTAACTACTTCCATGTTCCTTTGTCAAGTCTTCCGATTCTTGAACGTGGAACTGGACTACATGTTAGTGGAGGAGTCACTGTCTCCGCCCTGGCCCACGCCTTTCTCTGAAAGATCATTTGAAATGAGCCTGAACTAGGGGCTGAGGGCAGGAGAATGGGGGGTGCAAAGGAACCTGCGAACTTGTAGAGTGCAAAGGAGGCCTGGGAAAGAGGGTTTAAAGCCCGCGAAGAGGGGGCTCGAGGCCGGGAACGGGGAGGCAGGTGCAAAGGAGACTGGAAAGGAGGGGGACGCAGAGGAGCGTGGGTGAAGTGGCGGTGCAAAGGATGGCAGAGGGCCGCAAGGACTGGACGTCGGAGCAGTGAGAGGAGGAAACTTGCAGCAAACGAGGATTGAGCGCGCGGCGGGTGGCCCGCCCCTCAGAAGCCCGGCTCTGGGCCAGCCCCTTCCCTCTAAGCCCCGCCCCCGTGCGGCCCCGCCCCGGAATCACTGCAAAGCCGTCGCTCAGCTCCCGGCCTCGCGCGTCCCCTGGCGGCGATCAGCGGGAGCGCGGCAGTAAAGTGCCGCGGCTGGGGCGCCTCTGCAAGCCCCTTTGGGCCCTGGCCAGGCAGTGCAGCGCCCAGACTCTGGTGTCTCCCCGCCAAACATATGCAGCTATGCCCTGGCCATCCAGAGCTACCGCTTGGTTGGTCAGCCTAAAGAAACCAAGCCGAGACAACTCTCCTGCACCGCGGGTTCCAAATCCCAATGCACACCCACTGAATTGATGACTACCGAGGGATTGTGCATGCATCTGGCAAATTACAAATGCAAGACATTTGGCAAAAAGCGTGGAGGAAACCAGAACAATTTGTTTGTAGCAGTTCAGATTCTAGAAAACGGTATCCTTGGAGTGTCACTACAAAAGTATTAGGAGGATCTTTAAATGCTATTGTAGAAATAATAGAAGAGCCACTCCGATGTATCATTCTTTCCCTTTGCTGGAGATTGGACCCCAAGGCCCCCAACATACACTAGGCAAGCACTCTACCACTGATCTACAGCCTCAGCCTCCAATGTATCTTTACTAACAGAACTTAAGATATGTTGAGATGCTTATTTCTCCCCATGCTTGGTCGTCTCCTCCTCCTCCTCCTCCTCCTCCTCCTCCTCCTCCTCCTCCTCCTCCTCCTTCTTCTTATTTTTGATACTGGAAATGGAACCTATGGTATTTTACCATTGAAATACACCACAGCCCTTTTTTAATTTGAGGTAGGATATCACCGATTTGCTCAGGTAAACATGGGAAAACAAATGGATTTTTTTCTTTAATCTAGTAAAAAAAAAAATCCTTGGGCTGGGGAATATGACTCAAGTGGTAACCATGCGAGGGGCACTGGGTTCCTCAGCACCACATAAAAATAAAATAAAGATGTTGTGTCCCCCGAGAATTAAAAAATAAGTACTAAAAAAAGGGTAAAGGAAAAAAATTCTCTCTCTCTTAAAAAAAATCCTTAATTATGAAAGTAATGTCTGTTTCCTTTTGCTAAGTCACTGAAGTTGGCATTGAGCTTGTGATTCTCCTGACAGCCTCCCCAGTGACTGGGATTACAGATCTGCAACACTGAGCCTGGCTCCTTTACATTTTAGATCTTTTTAAAAAGCATGATTTCCAAGAAAATAGAATGTCTCAAATGAAAATACATGTCCACACAGGGCATTTATGTCAGTAACCCATGTTGGTGTGCAGACTTTCCTTAAATTCATGTATTGCAGGGCGTGGTGGTGCACGCCTGTAATCCCAGCTAAGACAGGAGGATTGCAAGTTCAAAGCCAGTCTCAGCGATGGCAAGACTCTAAGCAACTCAGGGAGACTCTGTCTCTAAATAAAATACAAAATAGGGTTGGGGATGTGGCTCAGTGGTTGAGTGCCCCTGAGTTCAATCCGGGGTAAACCCCTCCCCTGAAAAGAAAATCACCTAAGCTTGCACTTCAATTCAGCTGGTGGATTGCTCATGTCAAATTTGCAGCAGCGATGTTTGTGTTTAGGTGCCACAAAACCGGATCCACACCTGACAAAGGGAATTTTGTGACTTAGGTTATTTTGCTAACAATCATTGGGAAAGAAGGTGACACATCAGAACCCATCAGAAAGGTCTGGAGCACACAAAGGTGCCTCTCTTTTCTGAGGCTTGTATAGGTTCTTAGCATCAGTCATTTGCTCTGGGAGTGCCCAGGCCACGCACCTCATCCTTCAATGGAAATGGGTACAAAAGCGTCACCAGAAGGCAGCACCAAATGGAAGTCTTTGATGGGACAGTAAAAGATGATGATGGCAAACACTGCTACCAAGTGGAAAAGGAAATAGCATTTTCATAATTAAGGATTTTTTTAAGAGAGAGAGAGAGAGAATTATTTTAATATATATTTTTTAATTTTCGGCGGACACAACATCTTTGTATGTGATTCTGAGGATCAAACCCAGGCCGCACGCATGCCAGGCGAGCGCGCTACTGCTTGAGCCACATCCCCAGCCCCAATTAAGGATTTTTTAAATTAGACTTTTAAAAAATTCCATTTGTTTCTGCATACTTCTATTCTGACTTATGCTCTGTGTTCTGAGGTTCTGCTGAGAGGCACTGAGGGGTGACCTGGAGGCCCCTGTCCTGTTGGGACACTCACTGTTCTCCCAGAATCTCATTGTTACTACAAAAGATCAAGAATTTCTACTCCTTTGAGCTACTTTTGGCTTCTGGAAAGGAGAGGAGCGAAATCATGGAGTACCAAGAGATCCTTGATAATATTCAAAATACTCACCCACAAGGTATGCCCAGGCAGCCATGAGCCACACAGAGCAGAGGGCCTCAGGGTGTGGACCCTGCAGAAGTGGGGGGCTGGTAGCCAGGAGGAAGGATGTCCTGATGAGGGTCCGGGTAGCAGCAAGTAAGTGGCTGCCAGTCCAATGGATGAGGGTGAGCTTCTTGAGGGGGCTTCTGCTCTTGTTAGCATGAGGGGCGCTGTACAGAATTTCCTGCTTTAGCCAGGCAGCTGGTCCCAGGAATGTCAAGGCTCCTCCACGGGGGTCTCAGTGTAGCACCCTTGAAAATCTCCTAAACAGCTTCCAGGGATTTTTGCACTCTCATGTCTCTGGAGGACCTATAATAACTGCAATGGGAACATTTTAAAGCTTGTGGGCAGGATTTATCCTGGGAATTTCTACTACAGATTTATTTAAATGCATATAGGTCAAGAGTTGGTAAACTTTTTCTGGACGGTGCCAAGTATAAACAGTTTGGCTCTGCAGGCTATACCATGTCTGTCTAGATGTGGCCAGCTGGGGAGCTGGGGTTGTGGCTCAGTGGTAGAGCATTTGCCTGGCATGTGTGGGGCACTGGGTTCCATCCTCAGCAATACACAAATTTAAATAAATTAAATAAAGGCATTGTGTCCCTCTACAACTAAAAAAAAATTAAAAAGAAACCATGTAAATAAACAGGTGTGGCTATGTTGCAATAAAATGTGTTTTGCAGCATTAAACTTTTTATTTACAAAACAGGCAGCAGGATATTGTTCTGCCAACACCAGCCCTTAAAACTAGTTTGAGTTGTTGAATGATTGGAAACAATATAACTGTCTTTTGAAAGGAACTGGTTAAGTATGGAATGATCCGTTTAAAGAGAGAAATACCCAGAAGCTGAGAATATGCATGTAAAATTCTTAACTAAAATAATTGTCAACAGGTACTGAAACAAATACCTGTACACCCTATGCCCCTTGTTTATAGCAACATAGCAGTAGCCAAAATGTCAAAATGTCTTATCCATGGGTATAGGTTCCAATATACACTGACTTCCTGAAGCTGCAGATAGTACTGAATCCTACATATACTATTTTCCCCCTTTATCTATGCACCTGTGATAAACCTTCACCATTTTACTTACAGGCAGAACTTTTAGGCTTCTCTTTGGCATATTGAAACTCCAGCATCACCACTCTTGCACGTTGGGGCCATTATTAAGTAAAATAAGTGTT